AAATATTAGTTCACCCAGCACTGTTTGCATTTCTTTGTGAACAAATCCATTCCACTCAATTAATAGAAGCACTAAAAGTTCACTCTGGGTTTTCAACAACTCTCCTCACTGCATGCAGTTTTTCCCCATGGTACTTGTCTTGGCAGGGGGCCCTCATCTCTCAGGGTTTTTTGTGGACATGGTGGGGTGGGGGTGGGGGGGGGGGAGATGCCTCTGTGTGGCATGCTATCTTAGCGCTACATTAGTACTGGCATTTGTCAACCGGAGTGGGGGTGTTAGGATGCTCAAGGTGAGCAGAGCTTGCACGAGGAGAGCTGTTGGTCAGGCTACTTCTTGTTGCTCTCTAAAATAGTTATTGAATCAAGTTACTTATGTAGGAAAACATGGATGTTTAACCCCTTAAAATACACCAGAATACAGGAAATGGCATCTACTTTATTAAAAATTTTCTGGGAAAGGACCCCCCAGACCCCCCACCTGTGTGCCTGCCCCCCGCCCCTTACAAAAGCTTCTGACACCAATGCTGGTAAGACATTTTCATCAGTGTTTTAAACAGTCTGTGTTCACAAAGAACATTTTCATTGCACAGAACATCTTTGTGTTGATGCTGGAAATTACTCCAGCCTCCTAAAGTTATTTAGAACGCTGGGAGTCTTAAAACCAGCTCTGTGGAACTTCTTCCTTTTAGATTGTAATATTGAATATTCTAAATTTATTGCAAACTAATTGACTGAAATGTGTCTATTCAATGTGGTGTTGAGTATTTTTGAGTTTTTTGCTGCGGGGCAGTACTCTGGGGTACATATTTTACGTTGTTTAAGTTCAAATACATCCATCCATCCATTATCTTTACCCGCTTATTCCATTTTGGGTCACGGGGGTCGCTGGTGCCCATGTCCAGCAATCACTGTGCGAGGGGCGGGGTACACCCTGGACGAGTTGCAAGTCCATCACAGGGCCATTCAAATACATTGAAACCTCATTTATGTCGTTGTTACTTGAACCTTAATTGTTTGTTGTTAAAAGCAGTTATTTGCACTTTTCAGAGAGCATTTTTAATAAACATTGGCAATATGTCACAATTTTATTCTATCAACACCACAAGAAAAGTTTCAGGCTCAGGATTTTTTTCCACTTTAAGCCCTGAATTAGAAGTGTGACATGATTGACACCTGACACTCGGCCTGGTTTCATTTTCCAGCAGGACTCGGCTCCTGCCCACACTGCCAAAGGACCTAAAAGCTGCCTGTGGAATATTCTCATATTCTGAGACACTGAATCTTTGTTTTTCATTATTTGTAAGCCATAGTCATCAAAATTACAAAAAGTAAAGGCTTGGAAATATTTCACTCTGTGTTATGAATCAATTTAATGTATGAGTTTCACGTTCTGAAATATGTCCTGATGCATGCTCAATAATGCAGGTAGAAAAATCTAAAAAAGTTAAATCTGGTCCTCTGGACATTCAAAAAACCAAAACAAAAAAATTGTAGAAATGTTTTGTCTTTCATCCGAAAGACTTCTTCAGTCTGAGGTGCTGTATTCAGCTCAGTTGTATAAATAGCACCCTCTTGCAGTTTGCTGCTGACAACCAAAACCAGCTGCTCTCATGATCAAGGAGGACCATCAGCCTAACAATGGATCATTAGCACACTGATGGCTGTTTACTGTTCACAGGGGGTTGAGTGATACTAGCAATAACAGCATTGTAAGAGGGGGACAGTTGAACACGGAGGCCTCCACCCCTGTTTAATGATGGACGGTTTCTTTTCACAAAGATGGCCTCCTTTACTCCTCTCTCAAACCATCGTTCCTCTCTATCCAGGATGTGAACATCTTCATCCCTGAAAGAGTGACCGCTGGCCTGGAGATGAGTGTAGACCGCAGATTCCTGGCCTGATGATTTTGATCTTCTGTGCTGGGCCATCCTTTTGGCCAGTGGCTGTTTTGTTTCCCCGATGTAAAACTTTTCACCCTCCTGACACTGAACAGCATACACAATATTACTCTGTTTGTGCCGGGGGACTGGATCTTTAAGATGAACCAGTCTTTGCCGTAATGTATCTTGGGGTTTAAAAGCCACTGGGACGTTGTGTTTAGAAAATAAACATCTTAGTTTTTCTGAAACTCCCGCAACATATGGAATGACCACTGGTCTGGGTTCCTCTTTTTCACCTGTTGGCTGACTGGAGTCCTGTTTGGGTTTCTTCTCTGTTTTCAAGAAGGCCCAGTTAGGATATCCACATTGCTCTAGAGCCTGTCTTGTGTGGGATTTCTCCTTCTGCCTGGCTCCTGAGCTAGTGGGGATGCTGTCTGCTCTGTGGTACAGAGTCCTGATGACTCATAACTTGTGCTCCAAAGGGTGATGGGAGTCAAACTGCAAATACTGGTCTGTGTGGGTGGGTTTGCGGTACACCTCAGTTCACAAATGTCCTCTATCAGAGACTGAGACCTCACAGTCCAAGAAAGCCAACCTGCCATTTTTTACATCTTCTCGTGTGAACTTGATGTATTTATCCACAGAGTTGGTGTGATCAGTAAAATGTTGGACTTCCTGAGATTTAATTTTAACCCAGGTGTCGTCAACATACCTGAACCAATGACTTGGTGGTGTCCCTGAAAAGGACGTCAAGGCTCTCTTTTCTACCTCCTCCATGTACAGGTTGGCAACAATAGGAGAAACTGGAGACCCCATAGCACACCCATGTTTCTGCCTATAATATTGCTCCCCATATGTGAAGTAGGTTGACTGCAGGCACAGTTTCAAGAGTTGACACAGTTGTTCTGTGGAAAGCGTGGTCCTGCTGCTCAGAGTGGTGTCTGATTTTAATCTTAAACTGACCACCTCTACTGCATCATCAACAGGAATGCACGTAAAGAGTGATGTGACATCAAAAGAGACCATTGTTTCATCAGTCTCCATGATGACATCCCTCACCTTGTCCACAAAGTCCATGGTGTTCTGTATGTGGTGTTCTGAGCTGCTGTTCTGAAATATGATTGACAAAAATAATTTAACTGTTTCACGGTATTCTAATTTTTTTAGATGCACCTGTACTGTTACTACTACTACAACTATGTCTAATACTACTACTAATATTACTAATAAACTTGAACGTAGAAGAGAACAGAAAAAATAATATGCAAGTCATGATGTACAATGACTTTCTATTTTTTTCCACATTTTCCTTGACTTTGAGCTTAAACTCTATAATCCTGCTGGCTGCACAGAGAATCAGTGAAACGTTACTGAGGTCAGCCTTCAGTTCTGTTTGAAGGGGACAATTTAAAAGCTCACAGATCACTGTCACTGTGGGTTTGTTTGTTCTTTGCAGGATAACTATGTTTTACGATCTGAAGACATTTTCCGTAACAAATCAGATCCATTTGTTGGGAAAGCTTGTTCTCCTTTGTAGGAACACTTTGTATCTAAAGTATGATGAACTGTGGTCATCCTTGTAATGTTTGATGCTGTTTGAGCCGACACTCCGTGTGGAATGCAGTTTTGGACATTAGCTAAACTAAATATTGTGCTTGGAGCAAGGAAAGCTAAAATCCAGTATAACACAAACTGCTAGGCAGATTGTTCCTACAGGGTTATTTTTTGTTTTTGTTTCTTTTTCTTATGTAAATATGGCAAACACTTGGGATTTTTTTCCTTCTATCCATCCATCCATCCATTATCTTTTATGCACTTCTCCCTTTTTGGGTCACTGGTGTCCATGTCCAGCAGTCACTGTGTGAGAGGCGGGGGACACACTGGACAGGTCTCCAGTCCATCACAGGGACACATAGAGACAAACGAGACAAACATTCACTCTCTCACTCACACCTAGAGACAATTTAGAGTTAACAATCAGACTGGCATGCATGTTTTTGGTCTGTGGGAGGAAACCGGAGTACCCAGAGAAAACCCACACAGCACAGAGAGAACATACAAACTCCACCCAGAAAGGTCCCTGGCTGGTATTTGAACCAGTGACCTGCTTGCTGAGAGGTGGAAGTTCTACCAGTTGTGCCTAGGCCTGTCGTGATAAACAATAAATCAATTAATCTCGTGATAAATGAAAATTATCAACCTCATTTTCATTTATCAGCTTTATCATTTCTTTGTGTCTCCCTCTTTCTACTGAAGACACTGGATGACAAAAGGTTAATCTCCGGTGCTCTTCACTGACCCCTCCCTTTCTCTTTTCTCTTTAAAATCCATTTTAACTGTCCAAAATCGCGTTTTTGGATCATTTAAAGCAGCTAAGCTGAGAAGCTAAGCTACAAGTTAAGCTAACAGGCCAACCTCGGAGAAAAAACAGCCGTCTTGTCAAAGCCCCAAAATTCACGGTTGAAACCTGTGTCTTCGTGTAAAAAGTTGTTTTTCTCTGCAAAAAGAAGCTGAGAACTTGTTTACTGATTTTTTTATTAAAAGCTTTGTGTGAAAAATGCTATGGTAAAGAGCTCAAACCACACAGAGCGTCCGTCTTTTTGAGAACCGAAAAGCAGGAACGAGAGACAGTCCATGTCACGTCAAGGGGCCTTCCTCCCATTTTTCTTAAAGAGACACACTGTTCGCTCCCTCACTATCCATTCTTCGGCTCAAACTGTCTTATACTGTCATCCGGTGGTCAAAAAAGGTACTACACTCAAAAATTAACCAACATTTCTTCTTAAATTTTACAATAATTACTAATGATTGTCAAATTTCAAACAATATTATCGTTTATCTCAAGAATTTCTGAGACAATTGCCCAGCAAAATTTGTAATTGACAGGCCTATGCAGAAATAAGAATTGTGGCTTTAATACTATAAATTAAACCAAATATTTAAAAAGCTACAACAGTTTTATTGTAGATTTTGATTGTCACCAATGTAGACATAAACCACTTTTGTGTTGTGAAAGCCCGGTCTGTTACTTTTGTCAGAATTTCCATCCAGTTACGTTCCCCCCTCAGATATTTTACGGTATACTTTCCATTTATGCATAATGTTGTACGTCTTGTTGCAGGGCCCTGGAGACGAACAAATACAACCACATAACCGCCACATACTACTTGTTAGCAGAACGGATCCTGAGAGAGAAGCAGGAGAAGGAAGTCCAGACCCGCTCATCCAGCCCCAGCAACATCAAGGCACACTTCAGGTACCACTTTCACCTTTACTATTACATCCTTGTTTTGTAAATAAACATCAAATTCTCCCATGCCTGTGCAGCTATCAAGTCTTTAGTAACAAAATGTCCCAGCTTGTTGGCATCAAGATGTTGAGAGCCGTAGTTGGAGACTACAGAAGAGAGTAATTGACCTTTCTCACTCCAGCTCGTCTCTCTGCAGCTTGTCTGGCTCTACTTTACAGAACCCAGTCACAGTTATTTAAGACTGGGTTACATCTCCAGAGGTTCCATTTCCATTTCTGAGTTAACTAAACCTGCTTGGCTCAGGGGAGCTGGATAAGAGGAAGTAGTCTGAACTATAAAAAGCTCCTTTGTATCTTTCTGTTCATAACTTTCCATCAATTTTCCTGACAATCACTGACATTTATGGTCAGTATCCAGTCAGTAATTTTACATCAAGAAACTAAGATATCTTAGTTTATATCACTTAACTGTCCAAGTGTTTTATCTTTGCTTCCTTGCCAGCATTGTTCTCTGGTTATAAAAGGAAGAACAGCTGAGGAAAGGAACAAATAAGGAAGAGAGGAGGCTGAGCAGGATGGCAGTGCTGGAAAATCTCTGGCACAGTTCTCTACATTTTACTCTATAAAGGGTTCTTTAAATAGAACAGTTTGGATTTGTTTAAAAATTCTGTTTATCAACAGATAGATGACAGTGCCTCAAAAAGTTGTTCACACACTTGGACCTTTCCACATGTCCTAACTTACAACTTCAAACTTGGAAATATTTTGCAAGGATTTTATTTAATATAGCAACACAAAGTAGCTCATGTTCATGGAGTGGAAGAAAAGTGATACATGTTTTTATTATTTATTTTTATAAATAATCTGACAGCTGTGGCATATACATTTATTCAGTTCAGTTGAGTTTATTTATTTAGCGCCAAGTCACAACAGAAGTCTCAGGGCACTGAACAGAAATATTCATATATTTAATTAAAGTTCTCTATCTAAGGAAGCAGCAGCCTTGAGGACTAATTTACAAGAGAGACCTGATTACTTTAATGCTGCTGCAGTTTTAGGTTTCATAAACTGAATTCATATCACAAGCGATTATCTACAAGGCACTTTTCACTATATGCGATGTTGCAAGTGGCAATGAAATACCTGAACTAAGTCACAGAAAAGGAAGTGTTTTAATGAGTGGTTTAATTGCTTGCACATTATCAAACTAGTGAGGTTTACTGAGACTAGGGCTGTATACCGAACCAAGATTCTTTTATGGCACTGACCAAAATGCGTCGGTCGGTGTATGGATTGAAACGTCACTCTTCTTTCTGTGTCAAGTTTCGGTATTGGCTGAAATGTGACATGTGGTTTCAGCACGCAGGCAGGTAAAACACAGACATATGACACGCTGGTTACGCCCACAGACGTGGTTCACGTGTGCAGCGCGTGTGGCGTCGAACGGCTTCAATTTACGAGCGGAAAGTTGCTCCGTGTTTGTCTTTAAGGGGGACCGCAGCTTCCCTCTTCCTCTCTCAGCATTAAAGTCAGCCTGTGAGTGTTAGGGTGCATTCACACCAGCCCTGTTTAGTCCGCTTGAATTGAACTCTAGCTTGTTTTCCTTGAAAGTCCGGCTCGTTTAGGGAGGTGTGAACGCGCCATCAAACTCTGTCACGGAACAAAAGGCGAACTCTGGCCCGGGCTAAAACCTAGGTCTCGGTCCGGTAGAAGCGAACTCCAACGCGGTTCGAGTACAGTGTGAATGTAAACAGACCAAGCCCCGCTCCGCAGGGTAAACAAACACGCACGCATTTCTCTGACCTTATATGGAGCCGTCAGCTGCCTTGTGTGGAAAAACAATATTCTCCATGGTCTTCTGTCTCATCTTCTGCTCATGCTAAGTCCATTTTTGAAAAATGACAAAATATAACTCCTAAAACTGCTAAAACTTGATGCCACTTCGTTTTTATTTTTATTTACAGAAGAAGAAGAAGACTTGTCTTCAGAGGTTTTTGTGTTGTTTCTTTCAGTAGTTCTTGGTGCAATGCCCCCACAGGCGAGCGGGGGAATAGGTTGGTTCAACAGGTTGGCTCGACTGCACAGTGCAGTGTGAATGCAAACGCACCAGCTCAAATGTAAACAAAAGGTCATGAATATTGGTCCCGAACCGAATCGAGTCTACCGGACTATCTGGTGTGAAAACGACCTTAGAGAGCATGAATGGCCTGATTCAACATTTCCACGGCTGGACTTCTCTTCATCAAAGAACTCCGAGGACGGAGCTGTGTCTGGGATTTCAGCTGGTAAGTTTACGTTTGTTAATGTTACTGCAGCTTAACACGTGCATCGCTGAAAGTTAAACTAGGATCCATATAACGCTAACTTTAAGATATTAGTGTGTAAATTTATATTATCTATGTAGCTAGCTAAACTCAGAAGCTAACTGAAGTTCGACACTAACAGATAAACTTGCAAAAATGTGCTCATCCATCCGGTCAGCTGGTTAAGCAGTTATGGACTGTAAATGGACTGTACTTATATTGCGCATTTCTACAAACTGGATTCCAAAAAACTTGGGACACTAAACAAATTGTGAATAAAAACTGAATGTAATGATGTGGAGGTGCCAACATCTAATATTTTATTCAGAATAGAACACAAATCACAGATCAAAAGTTTAAACTGAGAGAATGTATCATTTAAAGGGAAGAATCTGTTGTTTCCAAATTTCATGGCGTCAACAAATCCCAAAAAAGTTGGGACAAGTCCATTTTTACCACTGTGTGGCATCCCCCCTTCTTCTTACAACACTCAACAAACGTCTGGGGACAGAGGAGACCAGTTTTTCAAGTTTAGAAATAGGAATGCTCTCCCATTCATGTCTAATACAGGCCTCTAACTGTTCAATCGTCTTGGGCCTATTTTGTCGCACCTTCCTCTTTATGATGCGCCAAATGTTCTCTATAGGTGAAAGATCTGGACTGCAGGCTGGCCAGTTCAGTACCGGATCCTTCTCCTACGTGGCCATGATGTTGTGATTGCTGCATAATGTGGTCTGGCATTATCGTGTTGAAAAATGCAGGGTCTTCCCTGAAAGAGATGACGTCTAGATGGGAGCATATGTTGTTCTAGAACTTGAACATAGTTCTCTGCATTAATGGTGCCTTTCCAGACATGCAAGCTGCCAATGCCACAAGTGCTCATGCAACCCCATACCATCAGTGATGCAGGCTTCTGAACGGAGCGTTGATAACAACTTGGGCTGTCCTTGTTCTCTCTGGTCTGGACGACATGGCGTCCCAGTGTTCCATAAAGAACTTCAAATTGTGACTCATCTGACCACAGAACAGTCTTCCATTTTGCCACACTCCATTTTAAGTGACCCCTGGCCCAGTGCAAACGTCTGAGCTTGTGGAGCTTGCTTAGAAATGGCTTCCTCTTTGCACTGTAGAGTTTCAGCTGGCAAATGCGGATGGCACGGTGGATTGTGTTCACTGACAATGCTTTCTGGAAGTATTTCTGAGCCCATTCTGTTATTTCCTTGACAGTGGCATTCCTGTTTGAGGTGCAGTGACGTTTAAGGGCCCGGAGATCACGAGCATCCAGTAGAGTTTTACGGCCTTGACCCTTACGCACAGCGATTGTTCCAGATTCTCTGAATCTTTTGATGATGTTATGCAAGGTTGATGATGATAACTTAAAAGTCTTTACTATTTTACGCTGGGTAACACCATTCTGGTATTGTTGCACTATCTTTCTGCACAACAATGGTGGAATTGGTGATCCTCCTACCATCTTGGCTTCTGAGAGACACTGACACTCTGAGAAGCTCTTTTTATACCCAATCATGTTGTCAATTGACCTAATTCGTGTTAATTGGTCTTCCAGCTGTTCGTTATTTGCTCAATTTCCTTTTTCCAGCCACTTGTTGCTACTTGTCCCAACTTTTTTGGGATTTGTTGACACTGTGAAATTTTGAATCACCATACTTTTCCTTTAAAATGTTACATTTACTCAGATTAAACTTTTGATCTGTCATCTATGTTATATTACGAATAAAATATTGACATTTGCCATCTCCACATCATTGCATTCAGTTTTTATTCACAATTTGTTTAGTGTCCTAACTTTTTTGGAATCCGGTTTGTATCATTTCAAGATACTCAAAGCGCTTTACACTACAATCTGTACCCTCATTTACCCATTCATACAGCACTCTACATCTCTATAAAGCTACAGTTCACCTAATGCTCACTGTTTATGTTAATGTTCTCACAGGAGCCTCTGACCCTGATGGAGGACAGAGGCTGATAAAAGAAAAGTGAGGTGGGGGCCACAGGACAGTCACAAACGTTGTTGTTAAAGTTTGCTGCTTTTAACTAGGGATGCACCGATCCACTTTTTTTTACTTCCGATCCCGATACCTAAATCTAAATATCGGCCGATACCAATCCAGTTCCGATATCATGATCATCATTGATTTTATATGAGGCTGTAATAATCTCCTCTCAAGTACAATTTGTACAAATATATGCATGCATGTCCAAAAAGGCAACTTGAGTTAAGTTTTATTAATGTTGGATAAGTTTTAAAGTTAGAATTAAATTCTGCTAACACAAAACATGTTTTTTTTATTCCTAGTTTTAAAGTGGATATTAAAGTGATTATTTTAAGTAATTGTTTAAAGTTATTTTATAATTTTTTTAAGTAAGGGGCAGATATAAGAATTATTCTCTCTGCACTCTTTTCATTCAATGTTTTCTTTTTGATGATTTTTACTTTTTTATTTTGTTTCTTTTAAATTAATGAATAAATGAATAAAATAAAATGTTAAATGGCTTCAAACACCTGCTAAGTTCATAGCATTAACCAACAGACATGGTCCTGTTTTTAGTATTTTACATCACTTTATAATGTAGCTGTTTTTGTTTTTAATATAATTTTCAAATCATGTTTTTTTTATGATTGTCTACTGTTGCACTGATAAATATCTCCTGCAGGGTAAACTATATCTTGGTTGCATGT